ATTCCATACCATATGACATCATGCTCAGTACATAAACTGGGGGGTGGTGACCGCTGCTCGGGAACTGGCTGGGCATCAGTTGGCGTGTGGTGAGCAATTGCATTGTGCTTCACTTGCTTTGTATATTCTTTTATCATTATTATTATTTTCCCTTCCTTTTCTGTCCTATTAAATTAACTGTCTTTATCGTAACCCATGAATTTTACTACCTTTTTTTTTTTTTCCTGATTCTCTCCCCCATCCCACTGGGGAGGTGGGGGAGTGAGCGAATGGCTGTGTGGTGTTTAGCTGCCTGCCGGGTTAAACCACAACAGCAAGCTTAGGTATTTATGAAGAAGTTGGGGTCAAAGAAAGAAGAGGATTCTTTTTAGGCTGCAGAAGATGCACTTTTCCCAAAATCTTGGTGTTCAGCCTTGCTAAAGTGTATCAGGATTTAGTGAATCTGTACTGTTGACCTGGTCTCTTGAGTATCCCCCAGGTTCCTGTACCATTATGGTTCAGAAGAGGCTTTGAATGGGAATGTCATGACGCTAAACAATCGCTTCACACTGATAGAATACCGGTCATGTCAAGTGCTCAGGGAAGCATTGTCAGTCCACCTTTACTCTTTGGGTTAACTGAGGGGCTAGAGGGGGGAGATGAACTTGCCCGAAATGTAGTGGGTAAGTTAGGAACCTGTCTGCAAGCCCCTACCCCTGCCCTGTTGGAATATTGAGATCTAGTTAGGCTGAAGGCTTTTACCTGCGAGCAGCAGCTGCAGCTGTCTGCATGCCAGGTGATGCACTGAAGATGCTTGCCTTGTAATGGCCTATGGGGTCTCTAACTTCTCAAGGGGGTGGGCATTCACAGCCCTTCTATGAAGTTTGGTGAACTCAAGGATGCTGTCTGTGCTTTACCTGTTCTGTACTCAGCTGTGGAGCATCTGCAAAGTTTGGGAGCCAGCGTGGTTGAAGTGTCTCTTCCAGAGATGGAGGAAGTGCGAGTAGCACATGTAATCTGCATTCTCAGTGAGATGAGGGACTTCCTGCAACCTGACTTCAATAAACATTTCCAGGAAATGGTAAGTAGCAGCAGCTTGGATCAGTGGCAGTAGTTGTCCTGGCTGATAAGAACAAGCGTCACGTCAGTGAGAAACCTGAGGCTGTCCTGCTTTTTCTATGACCTGTTGGATGACTACTGATACAGGAGAGCAGACCTGGAAGAGAGCTCCAGGGCTTTCACATTCAGTTTCTTGCAAGCAGAGCCTTGATTGATGTTTTCTCTTTCAGAATTTGGACACTCGGGCTAGCCTGGCCTTGGCTTCCCAGTTCACAGCTCTGGATTATATTACGGTAAGGAACATACTGTGGTGAAGGCTGAAGGGAGGCACCTAGTGAAATTGTGAAAGTGGCATAGAGGATTCTCTTAACCTCCCCGTACATGTGGAAAGATACCGCCCAGCTGTATTGCCCTCTGCTGTGAAAGCATGCTGAATGGTGGGGCACCACAGAGGACATGCCATGTGGATTGGTGTCCTGCATGTTGATTCCAAACTACAGGAATGGTGTTGTCTTTTGCGAAGGCATAGGCTCTGATGGGCAGAGTCTGTCATCATCAAACATGAGCCTCATGAACCAAGAGGGCCCGGTCAGACAGTAGTCTCTCTGCTTGCAGGCAAATCGACAGAGAACTCGGAGCATGAGATTTTTGCGAGAGATCTTCACCACTGTGAACTGTATCCTTACACCAGGTATTGGCAGCCTTGGCCAAAGAGCTGGTCCCTGACAGCTGTGTGGTGCATTTTAAGAACAGTTACTCCATTAACTTTCCCTCCCGAATTTTAAGAGCATGACTTTTGTGCAAAGACTTCGCTGTGCCTCAAGCCTTTAGAAGATAGTGCAGCCTGGTTAGAAAGACTACTGTGTATTTCTAGATTTGCTGTGTATTTCTAGACTTACTGCCTATATCCATGGCAGTGAGAAACTCCTCGGTACTTGAGACAGGAGCTGCAGAGCCAGCACGTTTACACAGGATGGACTGGACATCTACTTATGAATGCAGATGTTTTTGCTTTAAATAGAAACTTACCGCTTAACTCATAAATCCCAGTGACTTGATTGCATTCCAGGGGTGTGAGTTTGCATCACCAATGTATATCAAACATGTGGCTTTAATGAACTGAGCTGTTTCTTGAAGATTGCCCACTGCCTGACTCTTCCTTTGCTCTTTAAGTACTGGATCAGGTTGCCCAGAGAGGCTGTGGAATCTCCATCACTGGGGATATTCAAAAGCCATTCGGACATGGTCCTGGGCAACCTGCTCTAGCTGACTGTCTTTGAGACAGAAGGTTAGACAAGATGACCTCCTGAGGTCCCTTTCAATCTCAATCATTCTGTGATTCTTCCACAGCTGTTGCTTCCACTGCCCCAAGAATCTATGAATCTGACCTCTTGACTGGCAGCAGCAATTTGTCCTTCACAGTCCGGTCCATGAGGTAAGACGAGTGCTGCTTGCACTACGGAAGCAAAAGTTTGGGAACAGATGGAGAATAGCTGCACTAACTGAAAGAGCTCAGGCTGTAAAGCAGGAGAGATCGATCCTAGCTGCCTCTCCCAAAAAAGGATGGCTTTGCTGCCGTCCCAAGGCAGGAACGCTGATGACAGCTTTTCCCCCAGGTTCATGCAGCTTGGTAACTTCACTGGGATTCCAGGCCTTGTGGTCCCCATTGGATATTCCACTGCTGGGCTTCCTATCAGCTTCCAGGTGAGCACTGGCTCTTCGTGAATGCTGGGTCACAGAGTCCTTAGCTGGCTTTGTCCTGAACCACTATAACCAGGTTCCTGCTGTTCCACACAGCACACTTGAGGAGTTGGCAGATACTGGTAATAAAATTTTAACTTGTGGGTGAAGAGACTTGCCTCAGAGTAACTCAGTCCTGAATGGCAGAGGAACTCTTCAGGTATCTGGGAGATAGATTTCTCTGTCTCTCTGTCTACTTGCATCAGTACCCACTATTTGTCACTATTCTTTCCTCTCTTTTCCTTATTTCTCAGTTCTGTAACTTCTTTAAGTCCTTCCTTGCTCTTCTCCCTCTTGAAATGGGTCTCATTTAAATGAAGGGTCCATGTCTTGTAATTAAAAGTCACACAGCTGCCTTTATCCCACATGCAGTGATGCTATACTTACTGGGGTAAAAGGGAAAAGCATGTGTCCTTTTGGTGCTGTTGGGGGTGAAAAGATTTAGTTATGTTTTGCAGGGCTTTCAAGAGCATCTGTATGTGATAATGCTGCTACTTTTTTTCTTTTTTCCTCCTTTCTCTGCCTCTCTCATCTTCCAGGTCATGGCAAAATGGTGGGATGAAGCTGTTCTTCTGAGGATTGGCTTGAAGCTAGAGCAGTTTCGTTACCAGACCAAAAAACCATCCATTTATTACAACATCCTCTCATGACGGAGTGACCAAGATGGGAAATAAGTCTGTCTTTTCCTAGTCTGACCTGACCAAGTATTAGAGTGGACGTGTTTTCAATGTTCATCTGAATAAGGCTTAGTAGCAAGCCCATTTGAGGAATCGTGAGGAACACTGATCTAAGCAGGCACTGATGCTGAGCAGACATAATTTCTGCTCCCTGTTTGTTATTGGATAGTCCAGTTTATACTGGGGAGACCAACTGTACTAGCTAGTTCCTCGCTTTTTGCCAAAAGGGGAAGCTGCAACTATCTTCTGCAACTTCTTTCCACATAGGGGTCCTGTGTAGAGATGGAAGAGTTGCATCTACAGGACTGCATGTGGGCAGTTCATACTACTGAGCACGGGAAAGGTACAATCCCTAGACTTTAAATCTTCTCGCACAACTCCTCCTGCTCCAGGATATAACAAAGGTACTGTTTTGAGGGGGGGAGGCAGCTTCCCTTAAGAAATAATGCCTAGCTCCCTTGGAATGAGGAAGATCTTAACATGCCTGCAATTAGGTAGTGGGTGTTGCGGCCCCTTAAATAGTCCCTCAGAGCAAAATAGAAAGCCTATAGCTATGAAAGTGTCACCATGCTGCTGTCCCTTACGCTGCAAACAGCGTAAGGTCAGTCTAGCTGTTGCACCGAGTATGGATGTAGCCGCTGCATGAGCAGTCCTACCTATCTATCTTCAGCCTTACATGCAAGGGGAGAAAAAAGCAGAGCGTGAACCCTCATCAACTCTGTGACCCAAAGCCCTGGTTCAGGGTTCTGCCTTTCTGTTGCACATCTCCATTTCCCAAGCTAAGCCTTGGAAAGCCTTTTTTCTCCCGCTTGCTTAAGTATAAGCCTACTATCATTTAGGTGTCCAAATGGAAGAAACTATTTGGTAATGCTGTGAAATGCTGCTCAAGGGGTGCTGAGCCAGCTAGTACAAACAAACAGGTGAAATTTGTGTGGTACTGAAAGTAGGAAACACTGCTGAGCTATTGGCAAGGGTTGAAGCTGGGTGCCAGAAAGGTGTTGCACGAAGCCATGTGCAACAAAGATCTTGCTCTAGATAAGAAGCCAACTCCCTCTTATCCCAAATGTACTTCCTGAAGTAATCAAGGCAGAATTAAGACATGGATTAAAGAGGCTATACTACATAAAGCATGACATGGCTCTAAGCCACAGTACTGTGTTTCATTGAAAGGCCCCAGACTGTAAACTGCCAAGTATCTGTCCTGCCAGCAGCACTAGGGCCACATGAAAGATAAGAGGAGGCCTAGGAGTAACCAAAGCTAAGCATTTGTGTTCGTTTTGGAGTAGCTTGGGGTTAATGCTCAGAGGCATCTCCTGTTGCCTACCTCATCAGGTATCCTGGGCTTGTGATCAGGCTGCTGGAGAAGCTGTCCTACAGACAGGAGCAGAGAAGCATGCTGTATTCTTACTTAGCTTGGAAGGAAAGAAGGAACAGAAAGTAGTTGCAGTTTCTCCCAAACTCTGTACAGTTTAGGGTGTGTTTTCCCCATACGTATCCGCTCTTTAAACTGAGCCAGCACTTTACTAATGGCTGAAGTTGTCAGGTGGCATCTGAATGGAAGAACATTGCATTGCTGTCTCCTCTTTAATTACCTGAGTTAAAGCATCAACTCCTACCAGCAGCTGTCACCAGCATCCACAGTGAAATTAATTATATGTTTGATACTGTCTTTTATCGTCAATTCTTCTATGTGATGCTACCACAACTACTTTTTCACTAGATTCTAGTATAGTTCAGCTTTATGAAAACAGTTTAAAAGCAAAGTATTTCCTCTATTATTAATGAGAAGTTATTAAACACTACCAACATACCTTAGAGTGAAACACTGCTGAAATGCATTATATAGCAATAAGGGAGTTGTTGGTAAGTGTTTGACAAGAACAAATTTCTGCCAGGAACATTACTGCTTGAAGGAAATGGCTGTATATTCCCTAATTTAATGCTGTTACTCAAATGATTAGAGATGGATGTTTAAAATAATCGATCAGTTACCATCCTGCTAGATGAAGCTATTTATTTCAAATAGCTTCCTAAATGATACACTACCCTGAAATTATAATTTCAGTATTTAGCTCATTCTCTGGGTAGAGTGAGGGAACTCAAGGTACTAGGAAGACAGATGGGAGCTAAAGTGAATCATTTAGGTTGGAAAAGACCTTTAAGATCACCTAGTCCAAGGGTAAAGAGTTTGCTATTTTTTTAAAATAATATTTGTATCCTGCTAACAGGGGGAAGAAGAAAGAACTGAGAGCTTTTACTGACTGACAGTAATTTTGTCTTTCCGCATGCTGCTTCCTCCCTTTCCCTAAACCTGTATCACATCAGTGCACATTTCCAGTGCAAGACTTCCCTGGTACTGAGGTTACTAAGATAAGCTTTACTCATCCTGGTGAAAGGCCCCCGTGATTCCTTTATTCCCCTGGCTGTTACCTTATCCAAGTTCTACTGCAGACCAGTTTCTAATTAACAGCAGTTCTGTCCCCACAGTATGCAATAGCAAGGCGGTTGTGTGAGCAAAGCGGACACAGTGACCACACACACAATCCTGTTGCTTCACATAGATATATGTATGGGTATAGATATACAGTATATACACATTGATCTTTTTTATATATATAAAATAACACCTTGTTTATAAAGCGACATTTAATTGCCACTGGTTCCCTTCCCGCCCCACAAAAACAATAGTATACAAAATATAAAATATCTTAAATATTTATAAACGCCGCAAGAAAAAAATAGAACTGTACGAAAATATTTTTTTTCTGAGGTTCCTTCCCTGCCCTGTGGGAAGGGAAAGAGAAGGGGTACACGTTTGGCCAGCCTAGTGTGCCTTGAGTCCATAGTTGTTAAGTGGGTAGGAGTATGCCCTGCCTAATACTATCCGGTCCCGGAGGAGCTTAAATAAGACATAATAATTGCAGAAGAGGATGAGGGCCATGGAGAGGGTATGGTTCCACTTCTCTGAGCGCAGCAGTGAGTAGAGCTGGTAGCAGACGACGCTGCCTTCGATGAGAATCAGCAGGTTGAGCAGCCGTAATGGACGGTGAAAAAGGAACTGCAGGGAAACAGTTAAAAAGGACAGATTTCTATGATGTGTTGCACATACCCCTCCCAACTTGAACACTGCATAATGCTGTCAGGCACCACTGAGCTAGCAACCACTGTGCTGGGCAGAAAAAGTGTTTGTACTCCAACCACTGCAGGCTGGTGGTTTCCCTTTCACTTAGGGAAAGCAGCATAAAAAACAAGGCATGCAAAAGTGTAATTTTGCTTGAGAAGGGGAGGACGGGTGAAATAACCTATTGGCCAGCTGACGTACTTCCCCATTTCCCTGGAAGATGTTAACTAGAACCCTCTATAAGAATATGCCACTGCCTGATGGGAGAGTTGTGTCACCATGATGAGAAAGCACTGACAAGGCAGCCGTGGCTTCCATCTTGCCCAGACATCACTTCAATATTGCAATGGGAAAGCCCCTCTACTGAGAACAGGTATTTTGTTTAGCGGCAACAGGCTCCTGCGCAGCACTGAACTCTGTTCCACACAATCTACTCTGCTGCAGCTAGGTTTGAGCCTCTCCTCCCTCCCGCAGTCGTAACACGTCAAGCAATAGAAGAGATACTTGCATAAAAGCGGGCATGGGAGACATCTGAAGGCACTGCTACGTTGTAAGGCCCAACTGCTTTATACAGGCATCGGCTACGTCGCACCAGAACTCCTTGTGGCCATATTGTGTTTTCTGACCAGCTGTGGGGAAAGAATGCCAGAGCGTTAGCATCTGTGCTCCCAACTCCCTGAACGGGGGTTCACAGGAATGGACTGCATCTTGAAAAATACCAAAGCCTCTGCCACAAGGACATGTCCCAGCTCCCACTGGAAAAGCACAGAGAGGTGATCACAAGCCCACCAGATGGACTCTGACTGAGTAACGTGAACAAATGTCTCCCAGTGCAAGAACCTAGCCCGCTGCATCGGAGGGGGCCACCCTCTGCCCCTACACAAGGTACTTCTCCAGTGGCCAAGAAGATCTCAGCATTTGTTCCGGGAAGGAACCAGCGGTGACCGCAGGAGCTCAGACTGCTCTCTAGAGCAGATGTTTCTATTCCTAGGGAACACGAAGACCAGCAGAGTGGCACCTGTGAGCCCTGGCACTGTGGTGAATGGGGAAGCTTCCTTGGTAGATAAGCATTGCCGATGCTCCCTATCTACTAGAATGTCTTCTCAGCCCCTTGCTGGGCATGCTAACCCTTCCCTATCCCCACACTCACATATGCTGTGGAGCATTGCTGTAGGAACCATGTTCTAGTTTCTGCCACTTGCCGAGGTGGGCAGCTGATCTGTGGAGCAGGTCACAGTACTTGGGAGGCAGCAGCTGAGTGGTGAGCATGACAAAGGCGTTGATCCACACCATGATGAGGTGCTCACAGGACCAGCGCATGTCGTAGTACTGGGTGCTCTGCAAAGAGACCAGACAAGAACTTGGCACCACTGTCACAAAACAGAGGAGGGAATGACAAGGGACGTACTGCGTGTGCATCCAGCAGACCCACACCGCACATTACAGGCATGCGCTTTTGGACCAGTGTTTTCAGAGGGTTACAGCTTAGGAAACACTCAAGACTCCCTTCTCCTTGACCTGAAGGAGAAAGGGCAGGGGGATGATGCTGCAGCTGGTGCATCTCCTCCTCCAGCAGCAGGTAACAAGGGGGGTTTGCTTGCCACAGAACTGCCCCAGGAGCACCAATTGCACCAAGACTGCTACATGTATTGTGGAGCCCTGCTCATTTCACTACACCAACTGGAGCTCGTTCAAGTTAGAGAAAAAGACACATTAAAAAATACAACCCCCACACTGACAAAAGAGGTTCCTGGATTTAGCTTGCCAAGCATCCTAGTTGGGTCTGTTCTCTAACAGGCTGAACACCAAAGCCTCTGATCCAAGCACTCGAGAGCCAGGATGTTGGATCTGAGACAGGTAACAACAGGTTCCCTTTTCTAGGAAGAACACAGCTATCCATCTGCCTAGGACAGGGGGTGGGAGAAGGGGCGTTAGTAAGTGGGGTGATGGGACTAGAGGTGCATCACATTTATGGCAATACCTATCCGCCAACCAGGAGCAGTACTAGTGCACTCCGGATGCAGCCATGCTCCGCTATCCGGGCTGCCAAAGGGGAGACAGAGAAAAGGGGAATTAACCAGGAATCTGGCCTGGCAGCAATTCACACAACATTCAGAAGGAGACGGCGGGCAGGGGCACAGAGAGAGCCAGACAAGAGCTACCTTCACAAAACACAGTGGCAGGAATGCCACATAGTAGGCACTGAAGAGAGAGTTGAAGAGAACTTCCTTGATCCTGCGGTTGAAATCTGCTTTTAGGCACTCCACCTCATTGCGGATGAGATCTGGGGAGAGGGGGCAGCTGTGGGTGGGGATAGACGTAGGATTATTGAACTGTTCTCTCAGGGATTCCCACAGAAGCGAGAGGAAATCTTTGGGTTTGACCAGGCTGCTGACAGCTGAAGTCCCATCATCCACCATCTGGTCCTGTACCAAGTAACCACAGTCTGCAGGTAGGGGCTGTGCTCTGCTGTCCTGGTGGAAGCAGCACAGAGGAACGTAGACACCAAACCTGCAGCGAAAGAAAGAAAAACACAGCTGAAATGACAGCCATCCCAACATGAAGCAGGGGGCACCTTCTCAACAGATGTTGGCCCTTGTGAGAGGGGCAGCACATAGGAGCCCCCACTCCAGAAGTTAGCAGTGGCCAACTCTTCTCCCCACTAAGAGGCTAGGGGAGAAACCCACTCCAGAAGTTAGCAGTGGCCAACTCTTCTCCCCTAGCCTCTTAGTGGGGAGAAAACTCCTGTGAGACAGCTATGCAGAGGAGCTTCTTTAAATCCCATTTGTGGAACCAGCGATCCCAGTGGCTCAGTCTTCAGTCACAGTAAAGGCCCCTCACACAGACAGCATACTCCAGACGATTTGTTTCATAAGCTCAGTGCCACCTCCTTGCATCATCCCCAGCCGTTCCTACTTCCTCTTTAATCATAAGATGAAGAGACTTTTGTCTGCATGTGTCTTGGGGGCAGATTACAGCCAACAGCTCTGCTTCCCATGGTGGCTCATGCCACCCCCAAGCGGCTATGCTCCCCCCGCCCTGAAGGTACAAGGTGGTGTCACTCACGGGTAGCCCAGGAAGAGAAGGTTGAGAACAGAATGGCTGCGGAAGAGGTTGACCAAAGTCCAGCAGAGCACCCATCCACAGAGGGTCAGCAGCACCAGGCGCACCATGTAGTGAATCACTGATGTCGCACCCACCTGAGAGGCCTGCAAATGGAGGAAAAACATTCAGTAGCCCTGCAACACTAGTGCTAGAACATGAGCACAGGGGGTGCCTGTGGAGGAGGAGCCGGGAGAGGGGTGCCAGGAGGCACTGTAAGAGGGATGGCTGCCCTCTTCCTCCCAGAAGTAGGAGACTGACTCTCTTACAAAGATGAACGCCTTTGATTTTATTCATGACTGGTAGAGTCCAAAAGTTTGAAATAAGCACAAGTTGTTGGGCCTGACTAAAATAGGGCCTTTTAAAAATCAGAGCTGCAAAGTCCTGTATTGCTCTGATGATAGTCCAGGATAGCCTGAAACACATTTCCTCTTGCTCTTTCCTTTAAAAGGATCAGGTCTCACCATTCGTTTTCCTAAAGAACTGGAATGTCACAGGTCTCGGCTGAGGGAAGAGAAGATGGTGCACCTTGGCAATCCCAAAACTAGATTTCCACCACTCATCTCTACTGGATGTACAGGCTGCAGTCTAGTGAGGAGGCACCACCTTCAAAAGGACAGCAAGAAAGCTTGTTCCAATCTCCAGAGGGGAGAAGGCAACTGAACTATGAAAAGATTCTTAGGGGTTAGAGCCAATAGATGGTATGTGCAAGAACTTGCATGGAACGTTTCAATGCAGAAATTTCAGTCTATGGGAGGTTTTACGGAGGATGTGAACATAAATGAAAATGGCAGGAATCAGAGATGAAAAGAGAACTTCAGAGATCCCATCTTCTCCATTCACCTATTCAACAGGACATAACTATTCCTTTATTTTATTTACTTATTTTTAAACTTATTGCTTAGTTGCTTAGCCTGGAGTTGCATTAACCATTTCAGTGGACAGAACTTCCATTTTCCTCAAAATGACCTTTCTCAAACATGTATTTGGCCTGGTTCTGCTCTCACAAACACTCTCTGTGTCTCAAAATCTGAGGTGACATGATCAGAGCCTTAGAGTTACTAAGTAACCAGGACTGGAAAAGGAGTTCTACCAGCTATTCATACTTCACTTCAGCGTACTCAGACACCCTCCTCCTGATCTTTCCCCTCTAACCTCCTGTTCATTCTTCCAGTCTTGGCTAACCTCCCTATCTGCCTTTCTGCTACCTGACTTGCAATTCTCTCAGCCACTTCTCTGGCACAGGATAGCGAGGTACAGTATCGCGCCTGCAAGGATACAGAAGCAAGTGGGACAATTTCATCTCCGTCTAGCTGCAGAGGCAACAGAGCTACTCAATACTGCAGGACATGAATGGGCTCAAGGAGGAAACTCCAAGGCAGAAAGGCATCCCCAAAATCTTAGTCCTTCACAGCCAGACTTGTTCTGGGGGAAGAAACCCTCCAGCTATCCAAGTCGCAGAACTTTCTCAGGCCATGGATGGTCATGCTCTGCAATCAGTACTACAGGAGAGGGAACAGTGGGAATGTTACCTCAGAGATGAGGGCCCACACCAGCCTCCGTGCCAGCATCACTGTGATGAACGCCGCCAGGTGGTAGTCAATGAGGTGAAAATTCTGAAGGAGGAAAGAGAAAAGGTCTTCACCAGGGGAAGGGACTCTGAAACCACCCAGCTGGGGTGGGACTGGAAAGCTGGCTGCTGAGAGCACATTAGGACCTTGTGTAAGCATTCCCCAAATCTCTCTATTAGGGATGAGGGAAAAAGGATAAACTTCGGTAACACAGGAATGTCTCCAGAATCAAGATCTTCCCCATATGGAGGTTCCTTCCCATGGAGAGATTTCCACTGAAAACAAAAAAAAAAACCACCTTTCAGGCAGGTATTTTTGGGGTCAAAGGGACATCTAGGACCAGAATGCTACTATGGAGAACAGCTTGCAAGTTCTCCTGGGAAAAGCCACTGAGCAACCAGAGCAAGAGCAGCTGAAATGGAGTCCAGAGCACACCAGCTCACTTTAGCTCTTGGTCTCAGAAATGGTCTGCAGTGACCAGTACTCCCTGATAATCAAGTTGATCTGAGAAATGTCATCTTCACAGGCCATAGATCTGCATTAGAAGTTAATGTTGGCTCCAGCGGCAGAAGTTAGATACAGCTCTTGGACCCCTTACAATTTTTCAATGAAGCCATCAAATGTGTTCTGGCTAGAACGGTTAGCAGACTCTGAATACTGCTGTCTGGGACTTCTCAAGGACATTTTGGGTGAAAAAGAATGCTTGACTTCTGATGGGAACAAACAAATGACCATTAAATCCTTTTGGGTAGGGAGCCTAAAACAGAATGCATTTTTCTTCAAAGAAAGCAAGCTATGTCCAGCATCGCATAGCTGAACTTGAAACTAATAGCTGGATAACTGGAACACCAGCACCACCTGTCGGTATAGTTAACTAAGGAACCACCTCATGCTTTCAAGCAGCAAGGACACAATATAAATGGAAGGACCACTTCAGAGGCTAGCTTCACTCAGATGGGGTTTGCTGACTCAGGTACAGGTCACTGCCACGTTGTGCAGATTATTGGGCCAGGAAGAAGACTGAAACCGAGGAAACTGGAAAGTTTACGTAAGCTGAGGATTTGACCCCCTCCCCAACTCCTCTGCTGCTGACCTGCTGTGAGATCCTAATGAAAACTTCCATCATCTCCCTTCTCTCACGCTCTATTGTTTCTACTGGGAAGGGGCACCCACAGCAGGTTCCTGGAGTCTCAACTCCATTTCAAATCCTAGGGGCTAGCTAGGCCATGCAAGTATCTGCAAGAAATTTCCACTGAAGGGGCCCTGCTGACACATCTCTCTCTTTCTCTCTCTCACCTTCCATGTATTTTCTCCCCTGTAAAATGGGGGATGACATGGCCTTGGCTGATGGGGGAGTGCATGTGAACTCCCCTTCATCCCCTTAATGTCAAACGCTTGGTGATTCCTGGACTGAAGGAGCATGGAAAGAAGCTGTGTAATGACAAAGCACAAGCGACAGCATTTGCTGGGGAACTCACCAGTGAGGTGCAGGAAGCAGGGTGATTGTATGGGTACCACCAGACAGTCTTGTAGATGTTGATATACTGAATGAAGAGGGCTACCAGTAGGTAGATGAAGAACAGGAATTCAAAGAGAAGGCTCCCATCCAATGGCAGTTCAGGGATCCGGCAGTGACGTACAGGCTCTGGAGTAATCAGCGCTGTGATCGGAGGCGCGGAGAGGCTGATGGCACTACCATTCCTGAAGCATATAGATATCACTCGTTTAGTAAACATTCTACGTCATCTCTACCATTTTCCAGGACATGGAGTGCTTGTGGTTGTGAATCCGGGACTGGGCATTGCTAGAGGAGAGATGGCAGCAGTCTTGCATTCATATTTCTGGCACAAGACCGGTAGTGAGCTTTATCTTCTTCTTAGCTCAGACAAAACCCTTATCCAGCATTTTCTCTAGACAACAGATTGGTCTGCCAGAGGTGCTGTGACATGCCCAGCAATATTTCAGTAAACTTGCAGATGGAGGAACAGAGGTACAGAGTGAGGAAGCAACTCCAAGCAAAAAATCACTGAGGACTCTGCGCCAGACTGAGCACCTTATGTTGGCTCCTTCTACCCATCGCTAGGACATTACAGTAGCACCCAGCCTCCTTCTCCAGTATTGCAAAGTACCCATCATCCTTCTGCTCGCAGTTCCTCCCTTTTTAAGAGAGGTAACTAAAAATGGAATGGAGGAATTCAGCCACTTCCTAGAGGCTGACCTCTCAAGTCTTCTCACACTTCCTTCTTTCATAGCCTTCAGAGGGGGCTAGGACAACTAAAAGCTCCAGCAGACTAAACTGATGGAGGAAGTTCAGACAAACTATGCTGTGTCTGACTGAAACCAGGATAAGCGATGCTCCCCCAGGACCTTGGGGCACTGACTCCATGGTCTCAACACAGTTGCTTGTTCCTCAAGAATCCAAGACTTGTGCCATTCACCCATCTGTCCCAGCCAGAGAAGTCTTTAAAGGCCAAAGCTAAATGGCTTGGATCTCTCTACTCTGTAGGAATGAACCTATACCAAGTAGATCAGGGCCTCAATGGGCAGCAAATAGCTTCTCTAGTCTGTGAACTTCTGTATGGAAGGAAGTAACACTGGGCATTTTTAGTCTTTATGCCAGATGCGGAGATCTAAATGTCACCGTGTGTTCCTTTTTCAGCCCCCAACTTCCCCGGACGATGGAGATGAGCTTTGCCAACTGCAAGAATTAGTTTCATCTGCAGCCAGCAGGGCTAAAACAGAATATAGGCATCCTCCTGCCCTGCCTTTCTATCACGTAAGAGGGGGGCTCACAGCTGAGCTCCGACACATCACACTAACTCCCTGTGGCACTGCAGGCAAGCGAGAGAGAGAGACAAGGGCTAATCATCTGCTAAGACTCACTGCTCTGGGAACTGCTGCAGGGAAAGACAAACTGAGCACTATGTGATTTCCACCCCGGACATTGTGACCACGGTGAGCGGTGAAGGGTGGCTGAGACCACTTCCACAATCCTCCCCACAGGGCTGATTTTAATGCATGAAGTCAAGAGAGGGGCCGCAGAGGGAAGCAGGTGCCACAGCAGAGTTGAAAAGAGAAGCTGGAAGAGGTTTGTCACACAGGGCACGTTCCCTCTTGGATGGGCCTAATGCCACAGCAGAGGGCTCAAGGTTCCCATCTCCCAGTTTCTCACTTTAACCACGAAGCCACACTCCCGCGCAGCGGATCAAGGCTCCTAGCTTTTAGCACTATCCTAGCCACAAGTGTCTCAATAACCCTACCTTTGTCCTCACCTGTTTCTCAAACCGGTACCGTTTCCGCAGCTCCCGCCAACCAGCGTCTGGAGAGAAGGCAAAGCTGAACGGCTTAGCTGCTGCCGGCTGGGTCCCCTCCTTCCACCGGGCATGACCAGGAACCAATCCACTTCCAGTGCCTCCAGCAGGCTGTGCCTTGAGACCCAGACAATGATCCCGAAGCCTTCCCAGGTCTGCAAAGGAGGCAGAAACATCACTTAAGCTGCAAACTGCTGGTCACCTAGTTCACACGCCAGCCAAGTGAGTTCACGCAAAAGGAAGCCACTCTCATACACTCAAAGCCCTGCGGGACACCCATCACCACCCTAAAACACCGTGCCATTTCAACGGCACCAGATCAGCATCTGCTTGCATACACAGAACGGATGCCACTGACACTGTGTCTTTAAAAAGCAGCTGCTTAAATTAGCCATCAGAGACTGCTAGCACTTCCTGTTGGCTGGAAAGCACCACCGAGCATCTCCAGTGCTGGAGACCGCACAACTGCGTGCCTCGTTTCAAAAGCGAGCCTGGGAAGAGCCCTCTCCCCGTTCTGGTGCAAGGAGCTACTAGAGCTTCGCAGGTCTTTTTAATCACCCAACGCATCACTTGACAGGCTCTGATGCTGGTAGGTAATTTGGACCCCTCTGCCAGAGCTCTGAACAGACAGACTGGTCTCCATGAAGTTAACTGCATGGTTCAGCTCCCTTCTGTGCTAAGAAAGTCCGACTGACACGATGGTAGGAGGTCCATTTAAAAGTGGTTCTAGCAAGTGGAGTAGTGCAGCAAAACACACACGTATGCATGTACTTCAAATGCACATATAGGCAATAACATATCCCAGCCCTCAAAAAAAAAAAATTAAGAAGTAAGCCTGTAAATATTTATTTATTTTAAATTACACGTTTAAATCAATCAGTTCCTTAAAATGAACTAGTATGAGAGAGGCTGAGCAACTCAGAATATCAGTACCAAAGGTGGATTCTCTAGGACAGACTTTATCACTTCCCATGCAATTTTGCTTTTATTTCATTGGTCTCCCACATGACACTGCAAGGATTTCAGCAGTCAGGTAAGTTCCTGATGGCTAGCAGACATAAGAGAGTGAGGGGTTGAATTGGAGTGCGAATCTGGAAGTCACTCCAAGCATGCATGCTCTACAGAATTAAGACACTGAGCAAGCATCTCGCTACAAGGACGCTGGTGTGTCTGCATGTCTGGAGATTAATTAGCTGCCCTCTTGGTAAAATATCATAGCCAGAACCAACCCAGGGTCCAAAAAAAGCATACCCACCTTCTGGGAAACTCTGGATCTAGCTTCGAAATTTACAGATGGAACCTATCGTCTATTTATAATTCAGTTATCACCTCCTTTAAAATCCTGAGAAATCACAGCTGGCAGAAATGCCAGGAAGTTTGCTCAATGAGTCACACCACTGTCACCATGAACACAGTGTGCAGGAGAACTATTCTAAAAACGTCCCTCAAAGAATTCTCCTTTGTATTAAAATTTCCCATCCTTCGTCTCTACTCCAATAACCAATTCTCAAAATTTCAACAAAAATCAAGACGAATGCTTTCCACATACCCGCATGACGGCCACTTAAAAAAAAAAAAAAAAAGGTAAACCAGAGATCCAGGGGGGGAGTGGGGGGGAAGAAAGGAGTTGTGAAATTGCATGAAAGGAGAGAGCAAACATTGGACAATCTGGGTTTGGAGGAAAAGAATGTTTTGGCAGACTTCAAAACTCTCATTATAATTCCAATGACAACACAACAGAGAATTGAAGCCTTCCTTACCTTTCTAGTAAAGACTTTAAAGCTTTCAGAGAACTTTCTCTAGGATGTTCTAGAGTTTTATTTGGGAATATTTATATTTCAGGAATTAAATATGAACAGAAGAAAATTCTCCTGCATGCACAAGATAGGCAGGGACAGCAACAGACAATGCAGAATTCACTTAGGGCATCCAGATACTTTACGTAAGCGGCTAAGGTGAAGGGAAAAAAAAAAAAAGAGAGAGAAAAACCTCTAAAAGGAGCAACTTTGAAAGCCATTTTAAGACAAATTAAACTATTACGGGACTATGGAAGCTAAAACAATTGGTCTGATTCAACCTACATGATATTTATGATAAAGGATGCAATACATTGGTGGTCTAATTAGTGGTATTAACAGTGGAAGGTATTTTATGCCACATTCAGTAATTCATGTAATTTACCAGCTCTCATTAGTGTTATCCCATTAGTACGCTTCACATGCTTGCCGATATAGACACTTGGACACTGAGTAATTGCACTTCCACCTCTGGTTTTGCAAACCAGTAAAATGCAGGTTTCTACCAGTAAAAAAGAATGCCTATGGGAAGGAGCCCTCCTTAACATCAGTGCACCGTATTTTAAATGCACTTGCATAAGCCCTTTCACAGTGATTCATGAACATATAGAGTCGGCAGTCCCTCAAGCCAAGCTTTAAATAACTTCACTGGAGTCCGATCAAATTAGGTAGGTGTCTGTTAGAGCAAAATCTGCCTAAGAACCATTCTTTTTTTGTTTGCTTTTGTTTTGTAAAACTAGCCATACAAAACTGAAGCTCCCCAGATAAAGTTAGACAAAGCAGTGAGATTACAGATCAGTTTGACTCTAAGTCTGCTTTTTTTGGCCTTGAACCAGTCAACAGCCCTCCTTTTTGAGGAGAGAGACATGGGAAAAAGCCTTTTTATAGTTTTCAATTAATAAACAAAGGCATGATTCTACTGTGAAAAATATGCTAACAAGAAAAAAAAGTGTCCATGACCCTTTACTCCAATAGATAAGATTCCTGTGTGCATCCAAGCCATATTAAATATTAATAAAGAGCCCGCAGACCGAGCTGGGAGTCTACCAGGCTCCCTTCTCTGTTTGCAGAGTCCCCGCCCCATCAGCAATCTTACTTTTTGTGTCTGTGACTCTATATAAAATGAGTAATGGAAGATAAAAGCTGTTCCTGACAAGACTCTTCAGTCCATTAATGCGATTCCATGCTGTTCTTCCCCGTTCACCTATAATTTCCCTCAAAAATAAGTCACATACTTGGTAGTCCCTTCATCCTCAACATCCCCAGAACAGAAACTGTCTAGCTTCCAAGATCTCCTCTCTCAGGCAGACGTGGGCATCAAAAAAACACACAAGAAGGATCTGGGGACCAGCTACAGAACAGTGGACAGTAGTCCTGTCCGCGCACAGGGAATGGATATGGGTACGGATAGCTCTTGGGTCCTAGAGAGCGACTGCGCTCTTTCTCCGGGACAGAGACAAAACCTTCAGCTGTGACATGGTTATAAGAAGATCCAGGAACATAAGGCATCAGACGCTCCGATTTCCAGTTCGTGCTTTTAGGACTACAGAAAGCGCTTGGGCATTTTGTTTCTCTGCACCAACACCCCTCCTCCCCACCAGTTCCCTAGCCATCCAGATGAGGCAGGATCAAGCCGGGCAAGAACCACAGCTGTGAGCAAGGCTTTACTGATGAAGAGCTAGACAGACAAACCATCCACCAGTTCAGAGGTGAAGCAGCATGCAGCCCTCTCCTGCTCCCCAGGGACCATCAGTCAGAATCATGTTCCTGCATCAGCAGCTGCCCAAACAGCTCTTACAAGAGGCAAATCAGGAGAGAGTCAGTGACTCATCAGAATAAAGTCTGCCTGGTTCCCCATCTTTTTGCTGGAAATGCTACAATGCTCAGCCAGTTATTTTGATGGTGTTAACATTTTTTAATTGGAGAAAACTCTGAGCCTCCAATCCTCTCGGGAAGCTCGCTGCACCAAGGCATGAGAACTCTCAGAGCTTGGAAAACATTCAAGAGGCTCTCCTTGGCTCCACAAGTCCTATAACCAGATACTCGCAAGAGCAGAAAGGGAAACGTGGCCATCCTCACTTGCAGCAATGTGGCCTGAGAAGACCACAGGTCTCTCGTTGATCAAAGCAGCCTTCTTCCTGCTGAGTAAGCACGTGATGCCTTGGGGTGAAGCAACATGTTGCCTCTGTGGCCATTAGTGAGGGAGCTCTGCCTGCCTCCTCCTCAGCAACACAGAAGCTCCCAGCGTTGTCTGGGTTGCTAGCAAGACTTTCCATTCGGGGTGCCCGTGCTTTATGGCTACACAGGCACGGAAACACACCTGCCACCTGTGCAGTGCTCCCTCGCAGGCCACCCCCGCCACACAGCTGCAGACCACTGACACGAATCACGGGGAACTACCAGTGCTGACAAAAGACCATTGATGTTTCCAGCCCCTCTGGGTGCTAGTGGTAATACCCTGAACCACAGCTAGCATCAAGTGCGGGACAAAAGGATAAAGGAACTGGGAACGGCGCAGGGAAAGTACAAGCCAAGGAGTGTGGAAGCAGCAGTGCAAGAAGCAACCATTCAGTGCCACGGCAAGCAGCGCTGCCCATCTCCAGAGCACTCCTGAATACAGGTATCTAGCAATTCCTCCCCCCGCTGCAGCAGCCGCCTATCCCCCTGCTGTCAGGAGCACTGGCTTCTAGCTCATTTTCCTTCAAAAAGGAACATATATTCTGGAACTGGACTGTCTAGATAAGCTCCAAGCCACGAGCTCCCAGACAACAAAGGCAAGGGACCATTTAAGACCTTGCTGGTTCACCCCAGCCTGAGTGAAAGGCTCTGTCCTCAGGGCTGCCACTGAACAGCACAGCCAGCACCTGTACAGCTTCTGAGGATGCTAATGGGCAATGCCCATAAGCAACCCCACAGGTGACAACAACTCACTGTGTCCCTGACAGTGGCTTATTTATAAAACCTTGTTTGCAAGGCTGCAAAAGACAGTTACTAGCCCCTGGTGAAACCATTTCTGGAACGATGGGAGGAAGAAAATAGGGTAGGATTCTCTAACCTTTGGGATTAAATATATATCGTAACAGTCGTGACTTTCAGCTGGGAGACAAGCAGCTCCTTCTCGTCTTCCTCCCTCCCACCCCCATCAGTCTCCGAAATTGAAACAAGCAATGTAAAAAGGTCTCTTGGTTACTGATGTCCTCACTTCAAGTTGCTGTAGCTGGTCAACCTAATCCCAAACTTGCATTTGTCCAGCAATCCTAATGTCTTTGCAAATTATCAGTGAATCCGCCTTATAGTCAAATTTTCTTTTTGACAGCTGTGAGTCCTAGTTACCGTGGCTCATTTTTACTTCCTTTTAGTGTGAGCCTTTTAT